CGCCCTCTCAATCTACCTCTATTACTGTACACTACTGCCCTATGCATCCTCGCTATACACTATTGCCCTGTGTATCCTTGCTCCCAAATCTACCCCCCATTACACAGCACCGGGCCATACTTCCGCAGATTCACGTCCCCGTCCTGCTAGACCAAGCCCGGGTAAGCCCCCCACACCCTCCAAAACCTTGAGAGCCCATGATCTGCCGCACACCTACTTCTGAGGGCCTCAACCGACATCGTCGTTCTCAGGTTTTCCAATACTCTTGCCTTCAGAGCAGCTACCGTTACCTCCCTGTCGCACCTGCATCACTCGTTCCGAAGGGTCCAGATTGTCCAGAGAACCGCAGCCCGCAACACCTCCGAGGCATACAGTTCTGTTTTGTTCTTCCGGTCCACTGCGATGACTGCTCCGAGTAGGATATGCACCTCATCATCTTCTGAGACCCGCAGAGGGGTAGCAGCTGCCAATATGTACATCCCACCACTGCCAGAACTGCTGCATGACGGGACATCTGACAAAGAGGTGCGGGATGGTTTCCACCTGGCCACATCCTGCCCCGCAGCGATCATTAAGATAGTTACTTTTGCCCGCCTGCCATTGAGCCGTTGGGACTACCAGGTGGTAAATAAGCCAGAGCAGGCCCGCCTGCTTCTGATTCGACAAAGTTTTCAACAATGCGCATTGCTCCTTCCATGTCCCCGTTCGCCATTGGAGCAAGTATACGGCCGGCAGCCACTGGCGCTTACTCCATCTGTTCACCAGCTCCTCACAGATGTCACATTGCGGGAGGAGCGATCAGTACACAGCYYTGGTGGTCACTTGGTGGATGGGGAGTTGGCGGTGGTTGTAGTTCTGCCTAGGCCAGTTCCACTCAGTCGGTACGGCTGATTCGATACGGCCTAGCATSTCCCATTCCCAATCCGGTTCCTTCATCACACACCACCACCGTTTCCATTTCCACCTTGCCCCACCGCCTTCTTGCCCCCGCGGTCATCGGGGTCCCCAGCCCATCATACCCCGTACCCACTCTCCATTCTCGCGTTTCAACTTCCTGCTCCCTCACCTGCAGGATCTGGTAGAGTTGTGTGGGGTGCAGTTCTCCTTTTTGTCTCAACCAGTCCCCAATCCCCCATTCGTTAGCCTTCAGGATGTCCACCCACTGCGTGGGCACTGCCGCCCGTAGTTCCGCTAAATGCTGCTGTCGCCGGAACTTATGGGGGAGTTGCTGGGCCATGACCGCATCCGTCTTCCAGTCCCTTGCCTCTTCGTCCCACAGGTGCCCAACCTTGAAGATCCCGCATTCGGCCCATCGCCGCCCAAAGGCCCCCGACACCCCTTGCCAAGGGAACGGGTCGCCTTCATCATTGCAGACACAAGGGTTGTCAAAGAGGAGCTGGTTGTAGACTGCATCGGCTGTACCCGGTAGCTTCTGCTGCAGACGAAGCTTCTTCCACAGCGTAAGCGGCGTAGTCCACACCTGATCCCGTCGCACGTGGTTGATGAGTGCTGGGCTGACCAACACCACCGTTGCCATCTGCTCCGTCATGCCCAGAGTGTAGGCCAGATGCTGCATTGACAGGCTTTCCCACACCGACCCCGCTGTGCCCAACAGCAGCCATATCAGGTTTCGCATCTGCAGTGCCGCCATTTGCAGGCCCGGATCCAAAATACCCAATCCCCCATAGCCCCTGGGCTGGATCAGTTTCCGCCAGGCCACCCGCGGAATGGTTGACTCTGCCTCGACATCCCCTGCCCACAGGTATCTGTGTATCGCGGCCCGCAGCAAATTTAAAGATCGCTCCCTCGGCATGTGAATRGCCCCAGCATACCACAACGTGGACAGCACCAAGTTTCTTAAGACCAGTGCTTTCCCAAAGATCCCCAGGTAGGCTCGCTTCGCCCAGCGGCCCGTTCGCAGTATCGYCGCAGCCACTAGGYCATCCATCTGCAGCCCCCCCCCCTCCTGCGGGCGTATCATGACGCCCAAGAAGCGCAAGTTGTCCTCATCCTCAAGGGTGGGGATGTCCCATCCTTCCGGCCTCACGATGCCCCTAGGGAGTATCGCCATCRACTTTGCCCAATTAACTCTGGCCCCTGAATACTGTGCGAAAACATGCAGGTCCCGCTGAAGACAACGCAGCTGTTGGATGACAGGGGGAATGATGGCCCCGGTGTCATCTGCAAAAGCTGTAGATTTCAGGGTC